AGTTGATGGAGAAACGGATGAAAGGAAGCAATCGCCAGCGGAGATTGCGTAACCTGGACCAGAGGTTGGATGGTAGACGAGAAGAGGAACGGAAAAGGCGCGTGTTGGACACGGAACGAGTGGAAGGATGCCGTCGGACACACGGTGGAACATGCAAAGTCGTTGCTAGGCGTATGGAGAGTTAAAGGTGATGGGGTGTGGGGGGTCGGGTGCCAGGACCCCCCACGGTGAGCAGGATTGCCCCCAGCAGGGAGCTAAACATCCGACTTGCGGCTTTTAAAACAAAACGTAACCACGATTCGCCGCCGGAACCTAGTCGTTTCGTGCTTAATCGTGCCGCATTAATTACGCGGACGCCGGCTGCATTCTCTCTCTGTCTCTCCTCCCTTTCATCGGCTCTCTTCCTCCGATCCTTCGCGCCGCAGCGTGCGCGCTCCCTCCAACGCGAGCTTCGTCGTTAAATAATTACGCTTTACGATAGACCAGAAATTAATATCCCGTGAAATATTCCGTATTCGAGAGCGTAGATCAAAATTATCCAGGGACACGGTTAAATGGCTGAACATTCGGACGCGAGGTCCGCGAGTACTCGTCGAATCGCCATTTTGGTATCGGTTCTTCGCGCCGGATTCGGAGGAACGAGGAAGAATGGACCGCGACTGTAAGATTTTATGCGCGAGAGGAGGAAGACTGGGCGTTGAGAATAAAATTTTAGGTGACAGAAACGAGTGGGTCTCGAGCATAAGATTTTGGGAGAGAGAGAATAGCGGACGCCAAATATATTGTTTTAGACGAGAGAAAAAGAAAGTTGGACACGAAATGTGAAATTTCAGGTGGGAGAGAAGACTGGAGACCGAATATAAAATTTTAAATGGGAGAAGAAAGAGACTAGGCTTTAAATATGAAATTTTAAGCGAGAGAGAAGGGAGACTGGACGTTAGGTATAAAATTTTAGGGGACTGAGAAGATTTTAAGCGAGAGAGGAGGAAAAGTGGATATCGAATATAAAATTTTAGATGAGAGAGCACAGCGAATTTTAAATGTAAAATTTTTAGTGAAAGGGAAGGAAGAGTATAGCTTAAAAATAAAATTTTAGGTACTGGAGAAAGAAGAGTGGACTCTGGATTTAAAATTTTAGGTGCGGGTGAATAGAGGACCCCAAATGTATTGTCTTAGACGAGGGAAAAAGAAAGGTGGACTTGAAATGTAAAATTTCAGATGAGAAAGGAAGACTGGGGACCAAATATAAAATTTTTAAAGAAAGGAAAGGAAGAGAAGATTATTTTAATTTTATTAAAAATAAAATTCTAGATGTTGGAGAAGGAAAAGAAGCCCAAATACAAAATTTTTGCTGAAAGCAAAGAATAAGTGACCTCAAACATAGACTTCTACATGGAAGAAAAATGGCCTTAAACAAAGAGACAATAAAATGGCTCCTAAATATAAAATTTTAGATAAGAGAGCACAGCGAATTTCAAATGTAAAATTTTTAGTGAAACAGGAAGGAAGAAAATATCTTAAAAACAGAATTTTAGATGCTGGAGAAGGAAGAGTGGACTCTGAATTTAAAATTTTAGGTAAGGGTGAATAGAGGACCCCAAATGTATTGTCTTAGTCGAGAGAAAAAGAACGGTGGACCTGAAATGTAAAATTTTAAGTGGGACAAGAAGACTGGAGACCAAATATAAAATTTTTAAAGAAAGGAAATCAAGAGAAGACCTCAAAAATAAAATTCTAGATGTTGGAGAAGGAAGAGAACCCAAATACGAGATTTTTACTGAAAAAGAAGATTAAATGGATCTCAAATATAAACTTCTACGTGGAAGAAAAATAGTCTCGAACGAAGAGACACAAAAATGGCTTCAAAATATAAAATTTTAGATGAGAGAGCACAGTGAATTTCAAATGTAAAATTTTCAAGGAATGGGAAGGAAGAAAATATCTTAAAAATAGAATTCTAGATGCTGGAGAAGGAAGAGAACCCAAATTCGAGATTTTTACTGAAAGACTAAGTGGTCTCAAGTATAGACTTCTACGTGGAAGAAAAATGGCCTCGTACGAAGAGACACAAAAATGGCTCCCAAATATAAAATTTCAGCTGAGAGAAGAAGAATAGACTCCAAATATAAAATTTCAATACAAAGATTTCCCAAATATTGCAGAACTCCACTCTAACCTAATTTTAAATTTCCAACGTATAGATCACTTTCCTCTCCCCTTCCTCATCCAAATTACCTATCGATCGGTGCTCAGTCGGTACCGATCGCGACCACAACTAGCCGCCATTTTGCAGCAATCTCGCGAGTTCCTGCGACCTTTCCCGAAACTTAGTCGCCACAGACCACTGTGCTCCGCAGCGTGTCATTCGGTTAACGACGCTCCAACGTGGCGTGTGCTCGCGTAATAACTTGGAAGTGCGAATAAATCGTGGATTCGCGGTGGACGCGGACGTATTTGCAAGTATAATGAAAAGTACCGAGCCGTGTGGACTTTCATTGCGCGAGAAAGACACGCGTAAGTGGGCGCCTTGGATGGCCGAGGAGGGCAAAGCCGGCGAGGCGAGAGGCGCGCGAGTGGCCAAGAGGGAAGGGCAAAAGCGAGTAAATACCGGGAATAAATTAAACTAATTGAGCGAATTAGCCGGTTGTTCGGGCACCCAACTTTTACCGACGCATTCCGCTTGCCAACGCGACGCCGATGTCACGCAGACGATTTACTCTCCGCTTCCCTTCGCGGTTCCTCTCGACGTTCCTCTCAGAGATCAACGCAGAAGTCACGATTACGACTTCCAGTGCTCTTCTCTGACAAGTAGCAGTGGAGCTTCGCGAAGAATCGCGAAGAATCGTTAACGAGAAAGGACCGATTTTCGTGCACGGATAGGTAACTTCATCTTCTCCACACAAGTTTATAAATCCCTTGGCAAATTTATTCGCCATGAGAATTAAGATGAAATCTGCTTTTTAAGTGGGAATTTTAAAATCTGATTTTATCGGAATAAGTACTCACGTTTATTACGATGTATGATACTTTTGAACAGAAAACTGACATTAACTGGTAGAAACGAGTGTCTCGATAAGATCTGCTAAATTGAAATTTTAACACTAAACCGACCATGACCGGTGAAATGACCGGTAGACGAAGAGATAAAAAGGGCAGGACTTTGAAAAAGCTGGAACACGAGGAGATATCCAGAAATTGATCGTATAATATCTATATTAAAGGAAAAATCGTAAAGACAGGCTACCGAAGTGACAACCTCGAATTTCTCAATTAAAAATTAAAAAATTATCATTTGGATATTGATTGATTCGATGTGGAAGGTTTTGTCTAATTTTATTTTCCGTTGCTTAACGGATTGCGTATCACTTTGCAGAAGATTTTGTATGACTTTTGTTAAGAATCAGGATTTATGGCAACGTCGTCATCTGTGTCTATTTGCTACATCAGGAATGACTATGGTGGGATAAGCGGGAGACGTTGTGCTTTTGTTTTTTGACGATCGACGTCACTAGTCTGTAAGAGTGCATGATGGTGGGATAAGCGGGAGACGTTGTGCTTTTGTTTTTTGACGATCGACGTCACTAGTCTGTAAGACTGCATGATCCAGAATACATTACTATCTCACTACCAAATTATTCATTTTATTACCACAACCAACTTTCCATTGTAATATCCAACAACTTTAGAAAAGCTGAAACACGAGGAGATATTTAGAAATTGATCGTATAATATCTATATTAAAAGAAAAATCGTAAAGACAGGCGACCGAAGTGACAACCTCGAATTTCTCAACTAAAAACTGAAAAATTATCATTTGGATCTTGATTGATTCGATGTGGAAGGTTTTGTCCAATTTTATTTTCCGTTTCTTAACGGATTGTGTATCACCACCGATCAGTAATGTATGGAGACGATATTAATCGAAACGGTATTTTGCAAATTTTATTTTTCTATACCTAAGTGTTCGATGGACACTGGAATTATCGACTGAGAATGCACGCGTAATGAAAATTAATCGGGATTTTATTTTTCCTTGCTTCACATTGGAATTACCAATTCGTAATGCATGCATAAATAAAGCGTACACGAAAGATATTAATTAAAGTGACACGCTGAAAATAAATGAGTACGGATAATTAAATACTCGTTGGAATAAAAATTAATATTAAATCTGCGAAGACGCGTGCAAGAAGTTGCATATGTTCAATCACTTCGGAGATAAGAAATCCAAAACAAGTTACTTTGATCCTTCTGATAATGATAATACATTGGCGTAGAAAAAATCCGCGGGATCGATGATTTAGTCTCGTTACACAATATTTGATAAATCGGTTCCGTTTGTGTCATGGCGTGTGGTGAAAATGATGGATATTGTTGTTTGGAAAACGAGTAAAAATGGGATAAAATGTCTATAAATAAGATTTCTCGTGACCGATTGCCAGCTATGTCACGTGCAACTGAGGATTCTCATTATCAACGTGTTAAGTAGGAAATTCAATAGGAGGTGAACGATGGCATCGTCGTACGATCGTCCGATTTGACTGGCAATATTTCACCTGCCAGGAGCCGATAGAAGGATTTTGCCTTGAAGAATTTTGTTATCGTTGTCTCGATTTCTCTCTATTCGTTTAGAAAAATGACACTCGGGCATCCTTAGTTTGCTCGCCGCAGCAAAATGGCGACCGAGATGCTGCCTCAGTACAAACTCGATGATGTTTCTCATGACGACAAGAAATGGCTACATTTTAATATTTCATATATCGCGATCACACTTTTTACGTTTGCGCGAGGAAAGATCGCGATATTTAAATACTCCGTGTCTAGTTGTGGTGATTTAAATTTAATAACGGTCATTAATATTTATAATTCGTGTAAATGATGGCAGAGAGCCGCGCCTCGGGCGCCAGGAATTGATCTTCGAATTGGATTTGCTCGGAAATTGAGCATCAAATATGAAAGAATTATTTGTATTTAACTTGACGTATGTACGACTTACTGACCTGTATCCGTGCTTCCGTGAGGCCGATCTTCATGGCTAGCTCCTCTCTGAAAGCAGAAGAGAAAAATGATCGTGAGATGATCGTTAATCAATATCGATGTGAGTAAATTGCACGACAATTACAAAATAGTAGTATTATAGCATATACTATTGTATAGGGTGACTCAGCAACGATACTACAACCGGAAAAAAAGGTAATTCTGTGTTAAAAAAACGAATCGAAAATGGAAAATAAAATTTTTTCATTCGAAGCTTCGTTATTGAGAAAATTAACTTTGAATATTCACCGAGTGTGGATGCATTTAATTCTAGCTTACAATTAGATGGATAGATCATCGATATATCGGTATCGGTGATATAACCGAGGAAGGACGATTCTGCACGAAAAACTAAATCGAAAATGGAGAATAAAATTTTTCCATTCGAAGCTTCGTTATTGAGAAAATTAATTTTAAATATTCACCGAGTATGGATGCATTTAACTCTAGCTTACAATTAGATAGATAGACCATCGATACATCGGTAATGGTGATATAACCGAGGAAGGACGATTCTGCACGAAAAACTAAATCGAAAATGGAGAATAAAATTTTTCCATTCGAAGCTTCGTTATTGAGAAAATTAATTTTAAATATCCACCGAGTATAGGTGCACTTAACTCTGGCTTAGATGGATAGATCATCGATATATCGGTATCGATGACACAACCCAGGAGGGATGATTCTGCACGAAAAACTAAATCGAAAATGGAGAATAAAATTTTTTCATTCGAAGCTTCGTTATTGAGAAAATTAACTTTGAATATTCACCGAGTGTGGATGCATTTAATTCTAGCTTACAATTAGATGGATAGATCATCGATATATCGGTATCGGTGATATAACCGAGGAAGGACGATTCTGCACGAAAAACTAAATCGAAAATGGAGAATAAAATCTTTTCATTCGAAGCTTCGTTGTCGAGAAAATCAGCATTGAATATTCACAGAGTACGCGTTTGCCTAAGGCGGATGGACCACCGTTATACCAGCGTGCTCTGTGAATATTCAAAGTCGATTTCCTCGACAACGAAGCTTCGAATGAAAAAATTTTATTCTTCATTTTCGATTTGTTTTTTCACGTAGAATCACCTCCTTCCTGATTATACCACCGTTGTTGGGCCCCCTGTGTATTACCGTAGGAGGAAGAATACTTAGAACGATTATCCTGTACGAACGAGTTCTTGGAATGCACGCGAGATTTTTGAAATGTACGGTACGAGTGTACAGTATGCGTAAATGAACAAAAAGTGACTGAACTTAGTAAAGAAACGACGAAATAGTACACTTAATTTTTAATTTCCTTTTAGCTCGTGAGAAATATATTTTAGAATTTAACATCTTTTTCTTCCGCTAATCCATATTCCCTACTATGCGTTGCCGAAAAGAAGTCATCTGAGAAACTTGTAGGACCGAATCGCCATCAGCCCAACCCTTCTGACATCATGGCAGAAGTAGAGTAAAACGCTTCCCTTATTGGTAGAACTGATCCCTTCCTATTAGCCCGGTCATAGAACACCATGTGACAAAGAAAGCGAAGAAAGCAACGAGATAAAGTGAGACAGACGCAAGAAATAGATGCAAGAGCGTAGACTCGTCCCAAAAGTATATTAACTTCAGATTATTCTGACGAACACATGACTATTTGCAATTACTAATTACTAATTAGCATCTTGATTCATTTTTCATTGCATTATGCAGCAAACGTGATGTACTATACACGTATCTTTTATATTTATGTTGTATCGTATGAGTCTTTTAAACGGTCATCTAGTATGATGAAATTATATAATTAATTTATCATAAAAGATACATCTTGAATTGTAAATCAATTTTCATAAATGACGTTAATTATTATTACTTTTGTACTTCTTTACTTTATAAATCTTTGAGCTATTGTAAATTACCATTACAGTATATATCATAAATAGCGTGATTATTATCAATTGAATTATCAATTAAATGATGTTAATTATTATTACTTTTGTACTTCTTTACTTTATAAATCTTTGAGCTATTGTAAATTACCATTACAGTATATATCATAAATAGCGTGATTATTATCAATTGAATTATCAATTAAATGGTGTTAATTATTATTATTTTTGTACTTCTTTACTTTATAAATCTTTGAGCTATTGTACATTACCATTACAGTATATATCATTAATAATGTGATTATTATCAATTACAAAATGGACATACGAAGTTAATAATTTGTCCCACACTGTACTCCCCTGCCTCTCTCTCTTTTCGCGACTGCCTCTTTCCCACAGCAATCATCCCGAGCATAAGATTGTTCTCTCGCACGTGAAACAAGTCTCGTTACACGACGTACCACCCGACATGCGCGCCCGCGCCTTATCATCTCGCTCGTGAAATCAATTCCGCGATTGACGCGCGATGTTTTCGTCGGAATTACGCGATTAAATCGCCTAAGAGAATTAAGCGGTTAGGTGTCGTGATAGATGGCCGTAATGAAGCCAAGAAATCCGCTTAACAGAAATAATCATACCGTTCGTTAAGTTAATTAGAACGTTTGCGAGGTATCAATTAATACGCGTTACATCTTCCACAGCACGTGTGATTTTCAATTCGATTGCCATTCGCATAAATTACAGGCGACCAGTGCAACGCATTGTGGCGTTTTCATAATTATTCACCGCTGCCCTCAGCAGATGCTATCTCGCTCCCGCGTACTTAGCGAAGGTACATGGGTGTAACTGTGTTTCAACGCGGTATTACGCATATCATTATTCGCGATAAATTGAACGGCTATTAGCCACGATCGTAAAAAGAACGCAGCGGTTTATGTAACGAAATCGTTAGCGATCTGCATTTCCGCAACGGAACGGATGATCTTCGCTTCTCTCCTCCACTCCTCCGTCTCGCCTTCTCGGCCATAAATAATCTTCGTTCCACCTTTATTTCTCCTTATTTTCCTTATATTCATTTTTCCCAGTTGTCCGAGAGAACGTGGGATACAGGACGCGTGATACGTCGTCGAGGAGAAAACGTGTAAAATTTGGATGCTGTGCGAAGATGGGAGTGTGGTCGATGTCGTTTAGAACGCTCGAGACTATGGAGTATGTAAAGTTTGGAGAGTTTTAGGTTAGGTTCGGTTGATATCGAATCTGTCGAAATTGGCAGTGGTGGGGATAACGATGAATTAAGAAAGTGAATTTTAATCGCGTAATTAAATTATGATTTAACTATGGAAAATTGTGCATATTTTATTTACGTCAAGAATTTTATTAATGTTATTATTAACATTTAATTAATGTTATAAGAATTTGGGGGATTTATGCGAATTTTGCGAATGTTAAAATATGTTAATTATAAGCTTGGTTTAATGCGAGTGTAATTTACCTTTATGGGATTTGGTATGGAAAACTCACGGCGTGTTAGACTCGTTATTAGACGAGGTTAAGGTAATCGAAATAAATGGTTTGGAAGTTTAAGGCTATTTTTAATTAATTAATTAGGTTAGCAAGAGAATATTGTTCCCGATAATTGTTTTATGTATGATATGCAAGATTAATAAGATACGCGATAATTAAAATGTGTCCAACATGCTGTACAGAAGGTTATGTACGACGGGAATTGTAGAGATATTTACATAATTATACGTAGATAATTATAAAGGGTCGAGAAGAATTATAAAAGAAACTAACAAAATTTAGAATTAAAACGCGAGTATCGTCGTTAATATTTATCGTGTATGCTTTCAAAAATCACGGATAAAAGCAAAAATGGATATAAAAATTTGGAAATTTGTTTCGCGCCTTTCAATTAATCCAGTGTACTCGGTATATAATTGAACACCGGAATTTTGAAATCTTCTCGAGTTTTTCCAATTAAAGTAATGTAGCTACAATAATTATATCCATACAGGGACCATTTTATTTTTTCCAATCGATTCAACGAATTTTTATTACACGATCGTTATGCAAAAGGCAAAATCGAGATGGAGACTTTGGAATCTGTTCCATGTCTTTTCGATTAATCGAATATACCTACAATAATTATCTCCGTACGGGGGCCATTTTACTTTTTCAATCGATTTCTCGAATTTTTATTACGCGATCGTTATGTAAAGGCGAAAATCAACATAGGGATTTTAGCAGCTATCGTGTTTTTTCAATTAATCGAACATAATTATAATAATTACAGCGAGACAGGTGCCATTTATCTTTTTCTAACCGATTCCTAGAATTTCTATTACACGATCATCAGATAAATGCAAAAATCGGAACGTGTATTTTGGAAGTTGTCCTATTTTTCAATTAATCGAACATACCTATAATAATTACAGCAATATAAGGGCCATTTTACCTTTTTCTAACCGATTCCTCGAATTTCTATTACGCGATCGTTGGTCAAAGGCAAAAATCGGAACGTGTATTTTGGAAGCTGTCCTGTTTCTTCGATTAATCGAACATACCTGTAATAATTACAGTGACACAGGGGCTATTTTACCTTTCTGTAAACGATCCCTTGAATTTTTGTTACACGATCGGCGGACAAAGACAAAAATCGGAACGTGTATTTTGGAAGCTGTCCTATTTTTCAATTAATCGAACATACCTATAATAATTACAGCAATATAAGGGCCATTTTACCTTTTTCTAACCGATTCCTCGAATTTCTATTACGCGATCGTCAGATAAATGCAAAAATCGGAACGTGTAGTTTGGAAGCTGTCCTATTTTTTCAATTAATCGAACATACCTGTAATAATAACAGTGACACAGGGGCTATTTTACCTTTTTGTAACCGATCTCTTGAATTTCTATTACACGATCGGCGGACAAAGGCAAAAATCGGAACGTGTATTTTGGAATCTGTCCTGTTTCTTCAATTAATCGAACATACCTGTGATAATTACAAAGACATAGGGACCATTTTACCTTTTTCTAAGCGATTCCTCGAATTTCTATTACGCGATCGGCGGACAAAGGTAAAAATCGGGACGTGGATTTTTCGGCAGGCCGAAACGAAATTCCGGAA